TGCAAGTAAATAAAAAAGGCTTAATTACAGAAACAGTACACCTTTTTGAAGTATTTTTCAGTTCCTAAACTTTTGCTGTCAGATATTTGCCTAACTGCCACCAAAAGACCTAGGAAAGAGTTAGAAAACGTCAGATTATGATGTATTCCAAGTCTTTGCTCTAGCAACAAAAAAAAGATAGGAAGCAGCGTTTGAATAAAAGCAAGGTTTGGTAATTGGATATAAGACGCTAATGAACGGAAAGAATAAAGTGTATGTTTTCTCCAGATGAAGTTTAGCATTAGTAATGTTCCTATTAATGGTTCATAAACTCAAACATGCTGGGTAGCACTGATTGAAAACAGTTCTAGAATGTATGCTAATAGACAATGTAAATACGAACAATTTTACTCAAGCTATTTCAAAGAAGGAAATCTTAAGCAATCTGGCAAAATACAAGAACAAAAATCTAAGAATCTAGGCGAAGGCTACCTTGCCTTATACCAGAAAAAAAACTCACCAATTAATGGCCTTTGCTGGCTCCTTTCCTCTTCATTCTCTCATCACTCTCTCTTTTAGTAGCAGTAGGTGGGGCTGCTAGAGCACCAGAACTGCCAACTGTGGCAGTGGCTGCTGCCTTTTGCTTCAGCATGCTCCAGTCGAACACATAGTCATACTGGTGGTTGAGTGTACGGAACAGTATTCTGAATAACTGTCTCAGATACATGTAGTCAGGTGCCTCTTCAAACCTCAGTCCACGACAATAGTTTAAGTACATAGCGAACTCCGTTGGGAAGCCCTAGGAGGGTGAAATAAGGCATGGCGCTAGATTAGGCCGACAGAGAAAGTCGCTGCTGGGAGAACTGTTTTTGAATGCTAGCTATACGTAGATTTAAAAAGACAAATAGCCTGGCAATGACCAGATTACTTCAGTCGAGAAACTCCATCGTTGTTGTAAACAAGAACAATTTAAAATTCATCTAATGATATCAAGGCCCACCCCTCTCTCATGTAGTCAACAACATTAAGCTAGAATTACTGTGTTCCAACGGTAGTTTTAACACTTCAAACTCCCTGAACATAAATCCGGTCCATTCAGCAAGTAGAAATTATATGGCTGGTTAGGGTCGCTAAATACAGATCCAAGGGTTTAGTGTTCGAATCCCTGGTATGCCTAAAATTGCACTTAGAGTGAGAAAAATTGTCTGATTGTCTGATCCCTGTAATTCCAGGCATAGGAAGCACAAGGTGTGGTCACATCAAGAGGAAGGACCAGGACACTGATCGATAAACATAGCTTCTCAGTGTCATAAAAACAACCTTCAAAATGCTAGGTAAAAAACAAATACAAATAAAAATAGAAATTATACGAATTGTAATTGTTTCTTAAAGGCAATCGACAAATATAAAAGTGGCTTAGGCCATCTGTCAGTCAATACTAGCCAATCAAAAAGCGCGTGAGTGTAATCACGCTCACTGATTGGTGAATCTTTTATTGAAAGCTGGCTTACGCCCCTTTAGTATCTGTAGATTGCCTTTAAGAAAAAGAATTTTGAAATCATACAATAAGATTACCTTGCAAAGAACCTCAACTGGGGTGGACATTTTCTTTTCACTTATTTTCTCATATTTTTGTTTTTTAGTAGCAGCCTAGAGCAAAAACAAATGGATCATATGAAAAAATATAAGCACACTTAAAATAACATTGTAGTACTATTATAGAACAGGCATAGGATAAGATTTATTGAATGCCTTTGCGCTCTTTCGTGACACTTTGTGGATTAATAGCAACACAAAACGTAATCTAGATTGTGATCACAAAAGTTTGAAAACTTCAAAGGAATAAAGAAAATTCCATTGCCAAAAAATTTGTCAACTTCTCAAATTGTTTTCTCTTTTTCCTTAAAGTATCAAAGTCTTACAGCATCAAAACCAGGGTTGTTCACAAGTTGTAGATTTTAAGCATTTTTGCAATTATGTCCTCGTCATTTATATTGACATTTCCGTTTCTGAATGATCGCATCCGGCCGGTTTTTGCAATCAATGTCGTGTATGTTTATCAGAAATGTTACAGCCAAAGTTTTTATCAGCCAATTTGGCACCATGCTGACACACAGTTATCCTTAATATAACATTTTAATGGATACACCTAAATTTGTAGATATTTTCTCTACAAACAAACTTGAAACGTCTTCTGATGCAAAAGAAGTGTGACCAATAATGGGATGTGTTATACATCAGAAAAACACTATTTTGTTTTAAAACTTGAACAAGATAAGTATTAAAGCTATCAAAACAAACGTACAAATATTGTTGTTAAAAATGAAAGTATACACCAAAGTACTGCTAATTTATCATATTAAACTATAGGGAGAGAAGGTCATAATTTACCCTTAATCCCTGCCATGGCAAAGTGGAACGGTTAAAATACATGAGGACATATCCAAGAGACTCCATGTCATCACGACGGCTAAAAATTTAGGTAAAAATATAATTAATCTTTGAAAGAGGCTACAAAAAAGACTTTATTGTATGCATGATGTATGATAGATCACAAAAAACCACCCAACTTTCAAATGATACCAAAAACAGCTTACACCGTGCAACTTACAGGGGTGCTTGGAACAAATGAGTTTTTTTAGTAATACTACATTTAAAAATTTCCCCGTTACGGAACTTATATTTGTTTCTAACTAGGTGATGGTTTGTAAAAATGTCTATCGTCCCGCACAACTTGAGCTTCCTATGAAAGACCGATAAGCAACGATTTTCAATGCACACAAACAGATATGACATACTGCTCAGGCAAAACACAACTTAAAATCATTGAGATTTATACCAAAATTCATTAAGATGTTTAGTGGTTTCACGGATTAAAAAAATGAAAATATTTTCCTTTTAGATGGAAGATTAAAACATGAGCTGAATCTCCATCGGTGAGAAGCAAATTAAAGATATCCGATAAATGAAATTGTTTTGCCTTTTTGCTCTCTCGTTGCTAACAAAATATTCGCGAAGTAAGATTTATTATGTTTCAACTTTGGATTTTTGCGGCGGTACTTTAACTGCTATTGCATTAATCCTTAACGGAAAACAAGGTCAAAAGTTTGGTCAATGATAAACTAAAGTTGTTTAACAAATAAAGCAAGATAGTAGCCTCAGTGTCTTTTATCAAATATAACGGGCGCGTATACAAGCACAAAAGTTGTGAAAAGCGGAATGGGATCTCAAAGTGTTACTGAAAATACCTGATTAGGGTGTAAGGGGCCTAAGGGTTGAACTGACTGCAATAACACAAATGGGCGTTTCCATTTAAAACTAAGACTTCAGAGTCGAGAAAAAAACAGGGAGACTAACGACCATCCCGAACCGTGCCTTCAAAGTAAAAGAGTCCCACTTCTGTACACAAATGACTTTTTGATATTGATTATGACGATTAGGACTAGTGCCAAAAACATTTGTGTATTTATAACGACCCCAATATCAAGAAAGAAACTCACGATTGCTCGATGCCAAGATGAGCATTGATGCTTGCATATCTTGCAGTGCCCGTTAGGTTTTTGTCCTCTCTATAATGAATGTGCTGTTTCGTACGGGCATCTCTGTACTTTTTGGCAAGGCCAAAGTCAATCAAGTACAACTGGAATGAAATAAAAGAAGGAGAGCATCATAAAAATTCCTCCAAAGTAACAACACTGTGGCGTTATTCCAGGATACCCATGACATCAATAAAAACTCGTTCAAGCGTACTTGAAATGAACAACAAAAATAGCACGGCTTTTGCAATGTACGAAGAATGTGGAGGAATGGTACTTCGATATTATGAATTGGCGATGTGGACAAAACTGATGATGATGATGATTGATGATGATTGATGATGATTATGATTATGATGATGATTGATGATTATGATTATGATGATGATGATTGATGATGATGATTATGATGACGACGATGACAATGATGACGACAACGAAGATTCCAAATGTATTAAAAGTCTGAACTTTTCTAGATGCGCTTCCAGTCTGTTTCCCAGACAACTAAGAACCTTTATGCTCTATGAGATTGCGATTCACAGACTTAAAATACCTAAAAAACGGTGGCACGAGCTATGACTCGCCAAGATTCAGAACTCATTTATTGGGGCTCTGTGAGTGGAACCTAACTGGGAATCTGTTTTTTTATTTGACGAAGGACATTTTTTGCTTGATAACATAACACGAATAATTATTCTTATTCGGTTGCTTTTTCAAAATGCGTTTCGCAGATTTACACTTTCTTGATAAACAGCGGGGAATGCTATGACGCAGTAAGTTTAGCAAACCCAGATCTTTGAATTCCACTATCAACCTTTGCAAGAAGGAGAAATCGATGCGTGCCTAACGATCCCTAACGACCCGCGCTGACAAAACGGTTCCAGCATAATGATCTCGCGGCAGTGCAATTACTTGATTACGAAGGGGAATCTTTCGTACGTAATTGTGAGCAGCAAAACTTTTAATTTCGTAAACTTCCTAGTTGCGAGTGCAAAGATTTCTTCAACTCAACTATTTGATGAAGAAATGTAGTCACAGATCCCAAGATTATTAATTGGTCATTTTCGTAACTGTTGGTCTGACCTCAGACTTTTAACAAATTTCCATTGTTTCTATGTTTTTCCTACACCAAACTACCTTATCCAACGGGGTCTGAAGAATTTCGAATGAATTTTGGATCAACCCCAGAGAAAATTGAAAAGTCCCTGCAAGCATTTTGTGACAATTTCGCAAAGCCTGGAAATCTACGAATAACTTTCACCGACTTTGCAAAACTTGCGAAAAACTAAACAGATTTCAAACACTTAACAATATATTTTCCACGACTCATTCATGAAAGCTAATTCTTGCAGAAACTCGTGAAATCGCATATTCCCGCACTTTCTTTTGTATCCTACATAGCAAATTGCAAATTATACGTCTAATTACGTTGACGCTTGACAAGATGAAAGCACCATTCTCGATTACGAGAAGTTTCTGATCTATTCTGGCTACCGTTCAACATGCACGTGCAGAACCAATTTTAACTGCACAACGTCACGAGCAAAACTAAAGGTGATTGGTCGAATCTAAGAGGATGACCACAAAGGGGATCTCAGGCTAGCAGCCGAACCCAATTTAATAGCACGATTATAGACCTAAGTGTCGATTAGCGAACCTCAATTGCCCACTTAATCGGGAAACTCACGATTCGCGATTGTTCGTTTGGGAAAATTGGGAAAATCCTTTGATTTTGGCATTCTATGCCTGCATTGTTTCGATTGTCTCCCGCCTTTGAATTCGGCTTCTATGTTTCCATTGTTGAACTCATCAAAATGCCGATCCATTGTTACACAATTGGCAACAATTCTACATATATATATATATATATATATATATATGGATGCCCATCGAGCCGAGCAAAATCCCCCCTTCATGTACTCATTCTTCGTACATAAAAATAGCACGGCTTTTGCAATGTACGAAGAATGTGGAGGAATGGTACTTCGATATTATGAATTGGCGATGTGGACAAAACTGATGATGACGATGATTGATGATTATGATGATGATTATGATGATGATTGATGATGATTGATGATTATGATTATGATGATGATTGATGATGATGATTATGATGATGATTGATGATGATTGATGATTATGATTATGATGATGATTGATGATGATGATTATGATGACGACGATGACAATGATGACGACAACGAAGATTCCAAATGTATTAAAAGTCTGAAATTTTCTAGATGCGCTTCCAGTCTGTTTCCCAGACAACTAAGAACCTTTATGCTTTATGAGATTGCGATTCACAGACTTAAAATACCTAAAAAACGGTGGCACGAGCTATGACTCGCCAAGATTACAGAACTCATTTATTGGGGCTCTGTGAGTGGAACCTAACTGGGAATCTGTTTTTTTATTTGACGAAGGACATTTTTTGCTTGATAACATAACACGAATAATTATTCTTATTCGGTTGCTTTTTCAAAATGCGTTTCGCAGATTTACACTTTCTTGATAAACAGCGGGGAATGCTATGACGCAGTAAGTTTACCAAACCCGATCTTTGAATTCCACTATCAACCTTTGCAAGAAGGAGAAATCGATGCGTGCCTAACGATCCCTAACGACCCGCGCTGACAAAACGGTTCCAGCATAATGATCTCGCGGCAGTGCAATTACTTGATTACGAAGGGGAATCTTTCGTACGTAATTGTGAGCAGCCAAACTTTTAATTTCGTAAACTTCCTAGTTGCTAGTGCAAAGATTTCTTCAACTCGGCAATTCAACTATTTGATGAAGAAATGTAGTCACAGACCCCAAGATTATTAATTGATTAATCTCGTAACTGTTGGTCTGACCT